GTAGTAGTAGTAGTAGTAGTAGTAGTAGTAGTAGTAGTAGTAGTAGTAGTAGTAGGGACGCTACGATCGGGGCGCTCATTCTTGAAAACCTGCCCAGGTCTGGGGTGTCTGACCGTTGGAACTTCAGCAAATCCTCCATGAACACCTTCATTTTCTGTTGCCTTTTGTTGCCTTCAACCCTCCAATACCCCCCTTTTCATAGGGAAGGTTTGTGAGGAGCGCCTCCTGTCCAGGAGCGCCTCACTGTGTGTGTGTGTTGCCTTCGCACACGTTCCTGACCTCGGGGGCCGTTCCTGACCTCGGGGGCTGTGAACCATAGCTTCAGCAGCTCAAGAGACTCAAGAGAGGTTAAGCCTAAGTGACCTGAACGAACGGACCCGAGCTACCTGGGGTACCCAACTGGGATAGTCGAACAGTCGGGTCCTGACCCACCTTTGTTGGGTGCTTTCACTTCCAACCAATGCACCAACACCGTCATCATCCGCCTCCAAGCTCATCCCCGCTGCACCACCGCGTCCACGTCACCAAACACCACCGCGGCACCAGCGCTTGGGTCGTCCGTTCTTGTTCTCCGTGTCGTTCTCCGGGACGAGACGGTCCATAGGATGGGTGCACGAGACCGTCTTCCCCATGTACGTGGTGAAGATGGCGGATCTTCTGCAGATGAAAGGCACTCCGAAGGATCATGCTTCGCTTCTGAAGGAGAAGAGAAGCACCTTTTTTTAAAGTTATTTTGTGTGTTTTTGGTTTGTTTGTGTTTTTGTTCCCCCTGCAGAGGACTGAGTGCACAAAGCCGTTTTTGGTTTGTTTGTTCAGTTGGTCAGTTGTCATTACATGTCATTACAGTCCGTTGATCAAGCTTTTCTGTTTTGTGTTGGTGACCGTTTACTCATGAGGGCAGCTGGCTGTGCCGCTTTTGGGCAGCTGGCTGTCACCGTCCTACCACACAAGCTGGTGTACTGCCCAGCACATGTGGTTTTCATGCAAATCACGGGTGGGGTGGAAACTGTCATGGTCAGGCCCATACAGTACCTGTCCTCAAAAGACGTTTCGGGTTCAATTCGATGGTGGGTGGTCCTTGGGGAGGCAAAAAAGCCTGAGGAGAAGGGCCAAGAGACCTAGGTCCTTCTTGTTTTTTTGGGCCCATGAGGGCCAGCGAGCGAGTGCAACAGCGGGGCGGACCGCGGTTTCAGCAGGGCGGTGTTGTTTGTTGTCCTGCATGTGTTCAATGTCAACCAGGGAGACGACCTTCTTTTGTCAGCAAGAATCGTCATGAAACATCAGCCGTCATCAACCCAGGGGTCCAAGAAATTGTCATATTATGTTTGCTTTCCTAGTGCCCATTTCACACGACGTGACCCCGTGTTCAACTTCAAATCCACACAAACAAGATGATTCCGACAAAAGCTGCGTGTGGCTCCGCATGGATACAAACAACCTTGCCCTACAGGTCAGTTTGGATTCGTTTGACTGGAGTTGATCACAAAAACGCACCACTCAACTAGGTAAATGTGCAGGTTTTACTGGGTTTTTGGACCTGTATGTAGGGTTTAAGACATATTATAACATGCCCAAGGATATCAAGTCAACCAACTCCCCTTTTTTGGCGTTGGACACCTTTTACTTCTGTCGGTGGCACTTGTTTTTTTTGTGTTTGTCTTCGCTCGCCAATCACAGGAGAAGTTGCTACACCAGTGGGAGCCGGGCATGTTCGTGCTCTTTGTCTCGCATCAATGGCTTTCAAGGCTGCTCAGATGGCCCTGTCCAACAGAGGTTGAAGCACCCTATAGAAGTCCCTATAGACTATTCCATAGGTACCCCAGTAAGTACCCCAGTAGGGTCCTATTGACGGTCACTATCCACCTCTCTTGGACACAGAAACTGAATGTGCTTCATCCCACCTCGAGACTCCATGGCCCCAGAAAAAGAGGAGGAAGTCCTTGGAAGTCCTCGCCTGGAGATGAGAGGAGAACAAGTATTTTCTTTACTTTTCGGTACCCTCCAAGTACTTGAAGTACAATGTACGGCTACCACTCATGGCCTAGCTGAAGACCTGACTTTTTACTCAATTAAGGCGATTCTGAATTTTCCTGAACTGGACAAAACCCTTGACATGGGGAGTTGTGTGTACATATACCAGGGGCCCTCAAAACCATAAAAACAAAGGTGTTCACCTACAAAAACCAGGTTGCTTGCTGGGAAAAAAAAACGGTTTTGTACATAGATATGTGTTTTCCTTCTCGGCTTCGACAGCAAAAGTCGACCTCGTGCCCGTTCGCCAGGCGACACCCAGACCCGTCCGGTCAGCAGTTGGAGGTCTTGCAATCTGCCTTGCGTGGTCTCATGGATGGATCGCTGCGTTTGAGCCTGGATGGCTATTGGGCGCCTGATCGGCTATTGAGTCGACGTGACACAAAGAACCGACACATCCGATGAGACGTGACACATCTGACGTGTTTGGTTGCAGGTTGTGGTGGTGTTTGGGTAATGGACCTGGAAGGGAGAGAGTGAAGCTGTAGTTCGGTCTCGTTGGTCTGGTCTTTTGCCCACCTTGGGGTGGTTTGAGGTGGCAGGCGTAGCAGTCCGGGTGCTTGGGTGGTTCAGAAAGGGTCATGTTTGCAGCGCTCTTTGGTGCCAGATGCATGTTTGGTGCCTAAAGAGGGAACGCCTGGATATCGCTCTGGCTCTGAGCATGTTATAGTCCGGCAGTTAGCTTAGTCCGGCCTCTTTGTTTGAACGATAACGGTCGCATCTATATGGCGCTCAGGCAAACGAACTAACGATCGGACTGCCACTGGCGGACTGCCACTTCTCGAGATGTGGCTGGAAGTCTGTAGAATGCACACATGAACTGGTGGGGGCATCTTGACCGCCTTCAGGACCCCTGAAATCAAGAACCCCCAGTTCAGGCTTAGTGGTCACATGTGGATTCCCTGTGTTTCCAACCGGGATCCGCCGTTCGTCAAACGCGGGAGCCGATGACATCCTCGGGTACGTCTGGGGTGGTCGGTCTTGATCTCTTGGTGATCGAGAGAGAAATCGTGTACAAGGTCACTCAGGGACTGAAAAAGGTTACTTATATAAGAAGCTTGACAGTTGTTGTTTAATTGTTGCTTTCGACTCTGTGACCGTGTGTGATTTGCACCTTCAGTGGAATCCGACAAGCAAAGCCTTTGCTTGTCCCGGCAAGACCAGGGACGGATGTGTTTTTGGAAAGTGATGGTGAATATATGCTTCCCGGAACATGGATGGTTTCACTAGAATAGGCGACAAGAGACCATTGAGTGAAACAAGCTCCTCGGGGGAGTGAATCCGAGTAAAACACGCGATCCGACCTACAAGATCCTCTATAGCCACAAAAGACTCCTGGCCAGCAGTTCCATGCAATGGTTTGGCTCGTCTCATCCAGGGGCTGATGTGGATGTGACAGGGCCCGGAGCCCCTCCGTTCTTCTTTGGCGAACTCTGATAACTGAACTCGACTGAGGTGCTCTTTGCAGATGAAACGCAGGCCACCATGGAGATTCGTGCCATGCTCCCGGAGGCCTACATTTGGTGTCCTGGTGGAAAAACATCCCGGGTGAACTCACTGGGTGATGTTTCTATTGAATCCCGTTCCTGGGGTGAATCCCCTTCCTGGGAATAATAGATGTTTGTTTCCAGTTCCTGAAGCAAGTCTAAGACTACCGAAATACCAACATGGACACTGGCAATAAACCATGAGTAGATCGGCGATCGGCTATTATCCACGGGAAGTCGAAAGTTTCTTGGGCATTCTCTCCATGTTGAACTTGTTGAGTCAGCGTGCGCACACATTCCTGATACAGTCAGTTCCAACTATGATGGTGATCAAATTAGACAGAAAGGCACATGTTGCGTGTTTTTCCCGAATGCGTAGCGAAGGGTTCTCGTTTAACTCTTGGGGGTCTGGGGGTAGAGCCTTGTTCGCGATCCGTTGTTTCTACGTCCGCAACCGTCCGCAACCGTCCGCAACCGTTCGCAGTAGAGCGCTAAGGCGCTGCCATTGGGGGAAGCTTTTGCAAGTGACTTTTCATGGATGTGTCACGTGTCAGTTTGCGACGCTATTCCATTGTGATTTGCATGAAAATGACACGTCGCGCAAGAAGCGTGATGCACTTCGCTGCACAGGCGCAGCGTTTTGTGAGATCCGCAGGTTGCTACGCAGTTCCATTGGGATTAGCGTTTGGAGAGTCGTGTTCTTGGGGTGTTGGACATGGCCGTGCCATTGGGATTTGCGTTTCAGGGTGTGGCATCGAAGCTCTGTTTTCGTGACAAGTCTCAGCTGAAATGCCGATTTTGGTGGATGGGAGTGTGCTCAGAACGCGTCGAAATCATTCCAAACGTGTGGTGTGGTGCAAATTTTGTTGAAGCTGACATGAGATGATATTGTCACTTTTCGTGGCAGGCGCAGTACTTTGTGTGGGTTTTTGAGGCGTGGAAGTGCGATTCTCGTGGCAGGCGCAGGGAATGGTGAGGTTGCGAGGTGTGACGCAGGTGACATTTCGTGGCAGGCGCAGTACTTTGTGCGCATTAGACATGTGGATGGAGAAAGATTCGTGGCAGGCGCAGGGAATTGTGAGGTCGTGAGTTGTGGTAGAAGTGAATGTCGCTGTCACAGTGGGATTGGCGTGTGAACGGGTGTTGTTTGGAGGGGCTGGACTCGCGAAACTGCTTGGCAGGGCTGCGTGATGTGTGTGCTCCGATGGGTGTTTCTGCTTGACTTTTGGAGGAAGTCTCGTACGAAATGCTCGTCTTGCAGACTTTGACATGTGACTTTTGGAGGAAGTCTCGTACGAAACGCTCGTTTTG